GGGGGGGGGGGGGGGGGGGGGGGGGGGAGAGAGAAAGAGGAAGGGAGGGGGGGGGGGGGGAGGGGGAACAGAGGGTGGCGTCATCCTGTGTGTAAAAGGGAGAGAGAGAGAGGAAAAGAGGGGGGGGAGGGTCTGCCATGACGAAAAAAGAAAAAGAGTGACGCGACCAAAACTCTTGTCCATGATTTTCAAGAATGAGTTTAAATTGTGGTAATTTAGGGGTCACTCGGGTCAAAGTAGTTGAAGACCATATGAGGAAAAACAAAGGGTAGAACTCGGGATGTCCCATATTCACTTTTTGCCAATATTGTCCAAACACTTAATTTCCCGTGTGACGTGTCACGATGACAGTATTTTACTTTCACTTTCACTTCAAAACGATTTTTAGGTCACACCATCAGGGTGAAACACAGGCATCGCGTTATCGGTTTTGATTATCGGAGGAAAGACTGATAACAATTTTAATCGATATTACACAATTATGCCAATGTGGGTCGATATTATTGGTGGGCAGAGAGAAGTGAGTTTTATTATGAGACTAAGACCAGGTTCATCAACATGAAATTAATTCTCTCTCCGTCTCTCTCAGTGACCTGCAGGTCAACTGTCTGACCTCAGATGTGACCTCAGACACCTTGTTGTCAGTATGTTTTTTCATCTGTTGATAAAAATGTCAGAACAGAAATGTAGTAAAATACGTCTTAACGTCCTCCCCATATCGTTCAGTCTTTATCTCTTACTAAACTAAACCACTCAGTCGGTCGGTTTATGTTTAATAGACAAAAAGCATCACACAAAGTGCGCGCACACACCCCTCACACACACACACACACACACACACACACAGAACATAAAAGTGAAGAAGTGAGTTTCGATTGAACACTCTGATGTATTCACTCAATGAAATAGTTGTTTGGCAGAAATGAACGGAAAATATTATGAATAAAATGAAAGTAAATAATAATTATAAAGCGTAAAATAAAAGAAAAAAGTTAAAATAAAATAAAAAATGTTTTCATAACAATTGTATTTAAAAGCATTCGCAACATTTTAATTTGACAGGCAATTAATTATTTTCTCAACATCAACCTCAGTCTAATAAGACCTGTGCTGCTGCCTCCTCTGGTCAGCTTGTGTCATTGCAATAAATCCTAAAGAAGGATTTTAAACTGTCACCAAGTACTTTATAAACTTCATGAAAATGATGATGCATTTTAAAATTAAAAAAAATTACCTGAATGTGACAAATGATAAATGATGATGCCACCACCACTAGATGGCAGCACCTAGATTTGGAATCTTTTGGAGTTGGGTCTGTGTGGGTTCTCAGTCATCCAGGTCTAATCTAATCCAATATATAGTTAACTATTTTTTGGATTTAAAGTTGGTCCATATAGTGAACTATTTTTTGGATTTAAAGTTGGTCCAATTTTATAAACTTTTATCATCCAACAAAGTTGAAAAATAACTGAGAATTAAGACAAATGATAATAAGGAGCAGAAAGTTGAAAAATAACTGAAAATTAAGACAAATGATAATAAGGAGCAGAGAAATCAGTAAAAAAGAAAATTAGATTAAGATGAAAAGAAAACATACAATAAAAAATAAATATAACACTTTCTTTTAGCTGTAAAAAGGAGTTGTAGTGTAGTGATGACTTTCCCCAGACAAAAGACTGGGCAGAATCAAACATAAGGGGCGTGTGTTTAGAGGAAAAAAACAACACGTTACATTGAAATCTTGTTAGGGTCCACTTCTCTAATGCGGCCAGCAGGGGGCACTCAGTCTACATTCCTGTAACTGGTGAAAAGGTTGTAGAGGACACGAAGTGTGGACTTAAGGTCACAGTTGACGATGTCTGAAAGGGAAGAAGTTGAGAAAAGATGAGAGACCAAGTCACAGCTAATGGGGAAACATAAGGCTCCAGGCCCCGGTCTGGTCCAAAGACCAGCTTCAATCAGCCCACAATGTTCAAGCAGACCATGCAGTAATAAAGGTGTGACTGCAGACACACAGGTCCTACCCTCAGGTCTGGGCTTTGGTCTCTCCAGACCTCCATCCTGCATCAGCTCAAACGAGAAGGAGACGTTGTGGACCTGAGAAGAGAAGAAGAAAAACCTCCTCAGTTTGGGCTCCATCAAAACTCTGGTCTGTGTCCCAGGAATGGACGTCACCGTCACAGACACCACCAGGTTCTTGTAGTAGGGGCTTGTGCAGCCGCTGGAGGTTGTCAGTACAACACCAAAAAGCTAACCGACAGACTGACTGTCTGTCACATCTTTTACCTTTTGATCGAAGTTTTCTGGTGTGAGGAAGAAGTTGTAGAGTGGAACAAAGTAGCCTTCCAGCAGCCCCATCAGCAGCACCAGGTAAACTCCATCTGCAAACTGACAAGGCAACAGTGTCAGTCACTGACAACCTCCTCACAGTCTGTTAAAGCTGACTTATCATGGAGGACCGGTGTTTGTGATACCTGTGTGTCCAATTCTGTCACCTCCAGGTTGAGCTTGTTCAGGTGTTTGTTCACAAATGTGATCAGAGTCTGGAAAAAGTACAAATAGCATTAAAGCAACAAAAAAAAGCTAACAGTAGAGTCTTTTACCAACAGGTCAAAGGGTTAGGGTTCAAACCAGTTAGAGTCCATGTTACACTTGCCTTTTTGACAACATTGAGTTTATCTGGGGCGTGGTCAAACAGGGTGTCGAAGGCGTCGCGCTCTGTGGAAGGAGATGAGCGTCAAAAATGTTCTCTACATGTTCTACATGTTCAAAGACCTTTTCATCAAGTAGGGAATTCAAAAAAGAAGTGAGGGAAAAATAAATCAGGGATATTCACTGAACTTTGACATTGAAGTAACCCTGAAATGATAAAGGATAAGTCAAAAGAACTCACCATGTCTGCCAGAAAAGGCCCTTCAAAAAAAAGAGGAGACAAATGTAAGAGGACACGTCTCACTGTGGGACGTTTGATAAAAACTGAGCTTTGGTCAGTGTCACTGAACAACCAGAACACTGTCCACCGCTACAACCAACCAAAGGACCGTGTTAGAGTCGGGGTCGGTTCAGAACAGACAGGCCAAACTGTGAGTCAGTATTTAAGGTTCTCACTCTGTGTTGCCGGTGATCTCCTCCTGGATCTGTCTGGACTGGAGGATCCCCTCTCTTTTCTGAACGACCACCACCTGAATGGATACATGGTCTGGGAGTCTGATGGGTGCTCTGAAGTGCTGCGACAGCGCCACCAGCAGGTGCAGGATGGCCACTATACTCTTGGCATGAACAGCTAAAAGGGAAGAAAAAAAAAAAAAAAAAAATTAGAGATGTGACACATAGACCGAAACAGCTCCACCTTCTGGACAAACAAAAATAAATAAATTAGAGATGTGACACATAAACTGAAACAGCTCCACCTTCTGGACAAACAACACCACTGATGACAGTGGTTCTTACAGTCCACGTTCCAGCGAATGTTCCTGGTGGACAGTTTGAGGGAGTCGTTGATTCTTTCCAGAACCGTCTGCAACTTCTGTTTCTGGGCGATCTCTGATTGGGTCACCTCGGCCACGTTCAGTTTCTCCCCTTCCAGCTTCTCTGAAGAACAGAGAGAGAAAACACATGTTGAGTCCACCACAACCTGGTCCACGGAACAGTGTCTAAACACCTTAAAACAGTGGTCCTCAACCCATGGGCCGCGGACTGGCACAGGCCCATGGGTCAATTGGTACCGGGCTGCACAGAAAGAATGCATAACTTACATATTATTTCCCTTTTATTCATTATCTGATTATGAACAACGTATTATTTACAAAGTTGCGAGCAGTTCTCCACCACTTGGAGACCTATTACTATTTACTATTATTTAAGTGGCGAGCAGTTCTCCACCACTTGGAGACCAAGCGTTTTGCATTAAAAGACAAGCGCAATGTTACAAGAACGCTGCTAATATAGTTGACTAAACAGTGGATTAACGAAAAGTGTGGTCCACTTCCTCACCAAAGAGCTTCTGCAGCACCTGACCATCGTAAAGATCTTCAGCCAGGTCCTTGACGATGATCCTCTCTCCAACCAGGACATCGTTTATCCAGTCGATCAGCACCTGAGGAGAGGAGCACAGCACTGGGGACTCAAACCTCTGCACACAGCCAGACGTCTGAAAACAACGTCCAGATGTTGATCCTTCTGCTCTAGAACCATCAGTGACATCACCTTCATCAGCTCCTGCAGTTTACGGTCATTCTTGGAGTTAGGGTCCACCATGGTACGAACTTCGTTCTCCTCTGGAGGACGAGTAGAAAACAGAAGGTATCTTTATGTTCTGGGTGTGGTTCTGACACAGTGATGTCACTCACTGGTCTGAATGTCTTCACTCAGACTACAGTGTGAACGTGTGTTTGTGTGTGTAAAGTAAGGAGAAGCTCTCACCCAGCATGGTGTCTTCAGGGTCCAGTTCATAGTGGGTGGGGCTGAGGGGGAGGTTGATGGCATTAATCCCTTCTTCCTGAAGCTCAGACACTGGGAGGGAGAGAGGGAGAAAGAGAGGCAGAAACACACAGAGGTAAGGACCAATCTGTCACTTTGATTGTTGTGGTCGGAACAACAGGCCGAGCATGTGACCAAATGAAGAAGGTCCACTAGACCATCGGTCCACTAGACCATCGGTCCACTAGACCATCGGTTCACTGGTTCACAGCACTGGTTTGAATTAAACTCTTCCATCAACACAGCAGAGCCTCTGTACTGAGCAGCTGATGTCATAGCCACGACTACTGCTGTCACTTCCTGTTTCTCAGCAGGTCTGAACCAAGAGTGAGGTGTGTATTAGATACCTGTGGAGGCGGCTGATCTGTGTGTGTGTGCGTTGATGTGAACATCCTCTCAATCAACACCAGCAACCAGTGAAAACTACATGTGCAGGGGGTTGAATATTCCTGCAGAGTGCCCCCTCCCTCCCTCACACCCCCTCCAACCGTGTTTCTCTTCAAACTCATCAACACCATCACTACAGTTCTAGTAAACTGTTCTGTGAACTCACACATATTAAACATCTCACACCACCAGTCAAAATGTAACAATGTCAAATCTGGAAAACAACACAAATGACACATACAGATTCCATCTCCTCCCTCTGCTCCCCTCCTTCCTCCTTCATCACTGCGTGCTAACACAGTATTTCCCAACCTTTTCTGAGCCACAGCACATCGTCAGGAAAAACCCCAGGGTACACCACCAAACAAAAAGTAAATTTAATGAAATATTGTTAATCGTTATTATTTTTTTTTTTTCTAGTTTAAATGCACTAAAAATGTACATATTTTTATCTAGTTTAAATGCACTAAAAATGTACACCTGTTTAGTTGACGACAACTCTGACATACTGGCAGGAATTTTATCTTTTTTTTTTTAGTTTTAATAACCATCTGCTGCCACCTAGCAGAAGAGCCTGTCACGCATTGATGAACAGAGAAAAATAATTTGCAATAAATAAATAATAGTTTTGTGACCAATTAAGTGAAATTGGGTAATTTTCCACGGCACAGCTAACAATCTCTCACGGCACTCCAGTGTTCCACGGCACAGAGGTTGGGAATCACTGTGCTAGCATCAAAACAACACACTGTCAAAGCACTGACTAAAGGTAGAACATGATGACAGATGCACTGCTGCTGCTGCTGTCCTTCTACCCTACCTGGAGGGCAGAGCGCTCCACAGCCCATGTCTGTCTGTCTCCGTCCTCCAGCATCCTCTCCTGGTCTCTAGGACCAACGTCTCTCTCTCTCTCTCTCTGTCTGTCTCTGTTATGACAGAATGTTCCATGTATACTGCAGTCGTTTTACACAAACTACAACATGTCAGTAGATGATCAACAGCTGTTCTGACTGTACTCACACCTGAACATAAACAACTGGAAATCCAGTTGCAGTAATTGTACAGATGTAAACTTAATAACCTGGTCAACATTATTATTTATCACTGCTGCTGTGAAGACGGAAGAGTGACGTCACAGAGTGTGGTGACGGCTGGGGGAGGGCGGGAGTGGGGAGTGGGAGGGGTGGTGGATGCTGGTGGATTCGCCACATTTTTATTCCCTACATGGAAACCGATGTCGTCACACGCACGGACACACGCACTGGTTGCGCATCAAGATTCTTTGTCCCGTTCTAACTCCCAGGTGTGGAACTTTACTGACTGACAGCGAGGTTACCTTCCGCAGTCATCGGCTGAACCACAGACCGAACTCGTTAATAGTTACTTTGGTTAAAGTTAACTAGTTTAGTTAGTTACAGCGAGTTCACATGGTGTTGTGACAGGTTGTAACTGACCTTCTTTTGCCTTCTTCCTTCTCGCCAAAGTTCCGCCGAGTTTCCCCAGGAATGAGTCGTCTTTCTTCCTGGAGGTCGGGGATTTGGGAGTCGGGGACTTCGGGGAAGAAGGAGACTTCTGCGGCGAGGAGGCCATTGTCCACACGACCGAAAATAACCGAGTTAATCCACAGAAAACGGCCGAGCAGAAGAGGGTAAAACTGCAAAACAGTCAAATAGAGGGAAAAAAAATCAGTGTCCACTCCCTACAGCGGAAACGGAATTCCAAACATTTCTCCCGAAGTTTGTGATGAGGCTCCGCCCGTGACCACGCCCCCATGTACGTGGGCAGTTCGTAGTTGAGTTTTAAAAAAGTTTTTTTTTAAATAAGGAATTATAAAATAAAACACAGCGAGTTTTTAAAAAGTTTTTAAAAAAATAAGGAATTATAAAATAAAACACAGTAACAGGGTTAGTAAAACTGTTCTCACTGATATTTTTGACTTTTCATTGATTTCTTGATTTGTTTTTACTTTTGCGGTGACGTCAGTTTGGTTGTTCTTCAACTATAACGTTCATGGATTTGTATATGTTAAAAGTCCAGAATCGTTCTAGAATGTTCATTACTGGTACATTATTTAGGCGCTAAACAACAGATTACGTCATCATAAACGTATGTGAATGTAGTCATAAAGAACTACGGCAATTCTATTGTTCTGCGGTGAATTATATATTTCTATTTTCTATTTCTTTTTCATGTGATTTTCAGTGATGACTTTGACATTGTTTTACATCAGAATGTTCTAGTTTTGACGTGACGTTTGTCATTTATTCCTTTTCTACGTGACGTAGAACACGCTAAAGCGGTTTAATCTGGTTTAAAAATCAGAACGATCAAATAATTATGTTTAACATTTAATAATAAATACATTTTAATATATATTATTTACTGACGTCATCCTATAAAATAGCAACGATGACTTTATTTTCTTGCCTGTAAAATGTCATAAAAATATTTTAAATTAAACTTTTTATTAAAGGTTCTGTTTCCAATCAAAACATAAAATCAGCATAAAAACCAAAGCACACGAAACAAGTCTTTGTGTAAACGGTGACGGTATAAATAAGTGTGGTCGAGCTCTCACGCACACGCACACACACACAGACGAGTCCACGTAGGGCACGCAGTACACACAACAATGTTCACGTCACAATAATAGACTACAAATACAAACATGGAGATGGGAACCTGTCCAAGCAGTGGTGAACCACCAGAGGGCGACTTCGAACAGAACATGGTTTTTGACAACGTATGGTCACATGACCCAGACGTAATGGCCAGGAAGTATTTGTCAGGTACGTCTTTAAAAGAGGAAGTTCACAAAACGTGAGTGAGTCCGTTATAAAATAAATAAACGTTCCATTTAGTAAATGAAGTAAGCAGAAGTGTCGCCCTCTGGTGGTTTATTAATTTCATCCTATGCTTGACTTGGATGAAATCAGTAGAAAAACGAGACATCGCAGCCCCTGACAACCACCACAGCAGCAGATTTAAAGTGACAGCAGCAGAACGTCTTCGTCAACATAACAACGACGTCATTTCCTCCGTGTCTGTTTGGGTCTCAATAGAAAATTCTTGAGTGTTTCAGAACATAAAGAATAAAATTAAAATGACAATAATAATAATAAAAATAAACAACAGCACAGTGCCAAAGAGTGAGTCACACAAAACACACACAACAATTTAACACCAGCGTGTAGCACATGAAAGGCTCCCCTGAGGATGAATTAAAACACAAGAGTTCTTTAAAGTTCCAGTGTGAAACATGTTCAAAACCGTCCTCACTTTACAACCAATGACCATCTGTCCTGGTTACTTCACACTTTCTGCCTGAGGGGGGCAGTATTATTGGTTCATCTCTGTCTGCCCCTCCTCTGTCTGACCCTCCTGTCGGTCCCACCTGTCTGTCCCTCCCAGTTTGTTGATGTGTGATATGTACTTGTAAACACATGAAGCTAAGCTGAGCCGAGCTGCTTCAGCCTTCAGACCATGACAGTCCAGGGTCTCCTGACCTCTGACCTCTGACCTCTGTCCTCGGGGAAGTCCAGTGTCCACTAATGTCTAGCTGTCATCACCTACGTCCAGTGAAACTCATAGCCCTTGGACAGAACCAGACTCTCCAGGTCTCTGTCCTCTGCCTTCTCCTTCAGCCTCTGCTCCTCCAGAGCTGAGACCAGCATGTCCCGTTTCTCCACTGTCCTCATGATCTCCGTCAGGATCTCCTGCTCCTCCTGGAGCTGCGTGGCACTCTTTTCAGTGTCTGGGGGGGAAAAAGGGGAGTTTCATAAACCAGCTACATCATTTTTAATCCTTGATTAGACTCAGTCAGAGTCTCAGGCCAGTGGAAGGTAAACCACCAGGCTGGATCTAGCATTGAAGGCTATTGTGTTGTGACGTCTCTGCCTGGTTTTCAGGTGGACGTGGTCGTCCACGCCACAGACTGTGACGTCATAATTAACACAAGCTGCTTCTGGAAAACTTTAACGCCTCTCACCGTCCGTCGCCATCCGGGATCGCAGCTCTCGCTGCAGTCGACACTGTCTGTCCTCCAGTTCAAGTTCTTGAGCACTGAAATAGAAGGAATGAGTGACCTCTACTGGAGATAAAGATGAACTACTGACTACTTAACTTGGACACTTTTCACCACAAACATTTGAGGCACTCACAAAACCTCGAGTTCAGACTCATATCGTGCCAATCTGTTCTTCTCCAAAACCAGTCTGAACCAGGACTGATAGAGCTGGGCCTCATCACTGTGGTCCAACTGGGAGGAAGAGGATCCTGGGAGGTGGAGGGTGGGGGGGAGGCAGGGAGGAGTATAATGGGAGGTTAGAGTAAATAATTTGGAAGGAGGAGAAGAACAGAACACAGTACGTCAGCTTCACGGTCAAAGTAAACACAACAAGGACAAGACCAAAGCAATCAATGAGAAGATGAAGATGATGGTGGTGAAGATCAGGGAGAAACGGGAGGTTTTCACACCATCCTGGTCCTCTGTACCTGCTTCTCCTCTGATGGCCTTCTCCAGTATTACTCCTCTCTCCTCCACCTCCCTCTGTTTCTCCCCCACTTCCTCCAGCTGTCTCTGGATCGCCTGTCAGACAGAAGGAGTCGCACACAGAGAACTTTGACATTAACGTTGGTCTTCATTATTTTCTTCTTTTCCTTTGCTCAATAAAATGTGTTTTATCTCAAATAGAACAAACAGTACCTCAACAGTTCCAGTTCAATACTTTGATCAAGTAAAATGTGTTTTATCCCAACAGTACCTCAACAGTTCCAGTTCAATTCCTACACATCTAATATAACACATAACATAATCTAATCTAATCTAATCTGGGAGCAGACAGTGGATGACCTGAGCTCGGTGAAGCCTCTTCAGCTCTTCTCTCTTGACCTGCTGGGCCACCTGGAACACACACACACACACACACTTGTTTTCACAGATATGAAGTGTGTTTCCAAAGTCAGACGTTGGAGTCGACACAAACCTTAGACACGTCTTCATTTTCCTCAGACTCCAGATTCTCTGGATTTAAAGAAAACAAAAAAAACAAGATAAAATCATTTCCTCTAAAATCCATGTTACCAGTCTGCAACTGAATTTTACCCATTTTTATAAGAATAATATAAATAGTTTTCTTAATAATTATTATTTTATATTATCAATATATTTGTTTATATCTATCTTTAGATTATTTCTTTCTGAAGCTAAAATCATTCCATCTGTGGATCACGACACCCTGAAACAGTTTCTCTCTGTTCTCACCTTTGCTCCTCAAGTTGCTAAACATGGTTGTGGGCTCCTTCTCCACCTCCTTTCCTTTACTCTCTGACTCCCTGCTCCTCCTCAGTCTCAAGGAGGAGAACAGATCCACTCTCCTACGGGGCAGTGAACCCATGTCATCAGGGGGAACTCCTCCAGACCCTCTCTGGTTCTTCAGGGAGACCTGTTGCAGCAGAGCTGGCAGGTCATGGGCTCCACTCCCGTGACTGGAGCCTGCAGACGACCAGCAGGGATTAGGGTTCTCCTCGGTGTTGGTCTCCTGGTCAGAGTGTGAGGCTACACTGAAGGCGGAGGTGAAGCTGAGGGCTCCCAGTGACACCGGCCTCGGTCTGCCGCTGCCGTCACATTTGGCTCTCCTGAAAAACAGTAAAATCTTATGAACAAAGATAAAAAATGGTTAGCCCAGAAATGACTACAGGTTAGCAACAAAATAGCTAAAAGTTAGCCAAAACAAGTTACAAATTAAAAATTAGGGAAAGTAAAGTGTAAAAATATGTTAGTCAAAAGATAACTGAGAGCTATCTTTTAGAAACAGCTGCAGAGAAGCAATAAGTTAGCTAAGAATAACCAAATATTAGCACAGAGTTGACACCAATATTGAAAACACAAAGTTTTTTTCATGTGTCAAAAGGTTAAAGGTGTTGAACACAACGTTGTCATGTTGTAATGTTGTTACGTTGTTGTTACAGTAATTCTGTTGATAAGGTTGTTGTTGATAAACAAGCTCACATGACCACTCCATTGCTGACACTGCTGGACCTGTTGGTCACACTGAACGTTCTCCTAAAGGCATTGGTGATAATCTGGAAGGTTGAGTGGAAAGAGCTGGAGCTTTGGTTCTGGTTCTGGTTCTGGTCCTGGTCTGTCTGAGGTTCATTCACAGATGCCTCTGCTGGTACCTGATAAAAACATAAAATGTTCCTGGTATGACAACCGTCTTCTGTGTCCAGAACTTTATTGCCAGATTAAAAAGTTGAGTCTTCACCTGGTTCTTGAGCTGCTGCGTCGTCTGCTCAGCTTCTTCTGCTGCTACATGAAAGTCCCAGTTCAGGAGCTTCTCCTTCTGGGCACGAGAGATTTTTAAGCGAGTCCTTGGAGGTGATACAGTCTTTGTGGTGGCTGAGTTTTGTCCACCATTGTTTTCTTCTTCCTCTGGCTGACCCTGGAGGTCTGCAGACATCTGACGTCCACCTTCACAGCTCTGAGACAAAGACATAAACAGAGCACCTCAGAGGTAACATGGCAGCTGCTGGACTGGAACCTGAAACCCCACGGACCCAAGTCCGCCACTTTGGTCGTCACTGGCAGCATTACTGCCACCTGCTGGGTCTGTATTCCACAGGTTCACATTTAATCTAGTGAAGTGGTTCCCAACCAGCTGCTATGTCAAACCTAGTGTTACATACTGGTATTGCAGTAATAAAATGTCATTTTGTAGCTTTGTTGTGTTTACATTTTCCAGCTCTGCAGATGTGATCTCCTCAAAGTCAGACTCAGGAACCGTCTCTGGTCTGACTGTGTCCACAGGTGAACTTCTATGGAAAGGGTTGATGAACATCAGCGGGAATGCTGCAGAAACAGATTTTAATTTTTTTTTGTGTTCAGGACATTTTACAGGGGCAGAATTATTTTTTCTTCTGCAAAATACACTGTGTTCAGGACATTTTACAGGGGCAGAAATTTTTTTTTTTTTGTGTTCAGGACATTTAACTCTGTGCAGAGAAGGTGCAACAAGAAAAAAGAAACTCTGTGCAGAGAAGGTGCAACAAGAATCTGAGGGACTTGCCAGCTTTAATCTTCTTTCTCCATCGATGATTGTGTTTGACATCATCATGCTCTACAGAAACAAAAGCTCAAATTAAACAGGAAAGAAGGGAGGACAGGCTGCTGACAGCTGTGCCTCACCAGAGGGGGGCAGCACAGTGGCTAAAAGTCAGTCATTTCACCTGGAGATCAGAGGTTTCCAACATTACTACAGCAGCCGCTGCACTCACACTGACCTCTGCTGGTGACCTCCTGACTCTGGTCCCTGGATCCTGAGGTGTCACTGTCCTCAGTGTCCACGTCCATCTCTGTGTCTTCAGGAACTCTTTTCATTCTGCCATCAAGTTTATGTGATGTGAAATGTGACGCCGCACCTACAAACAGTGACATCAGAAAAAAGATTCAAATCCTGGGCAGAAAACACGCCTGACTCATGATAACATCACTGACCGAGGCCAGCAGACAAACCGGAACAGTCCCGACTCCTAAAGGCAGCCAGTGTGAAGACAGTGGTCAGTGTGGACAGACACACCGGAGACCAACACGTGAAGGAAGAGAGCAGCGCTGCCGGACTTAGCTGGAGGGAAAACGCAGACATTTTCTACAGGGTTTGGTGCTGGAAGAGATCAAGTTCTATTCTCTGTCTGTAGATATTCTCCATCCAACATTCACATCATGGACTCCAGGGAAATATGTTTACGAGGATGAAGAAATAAAGACGTTTCTGTGAGGAGGTGGGGCGGGGGGGTGTCAAACGTAACACAGAGTCAGAAACTCAAACAGCAACGATGAGCAACGAGTGGAGTGAGTGAAGTGAGTGAAGGAAGTGAGTTAAAAAAGTGAGTGAAGGGAGTGAGTTAAAGGAGTGAGTGAAGGGAGTGAAGTCGATATCAAACATCCAGGTTTATTCAAAGGTGAACTGAACAGAGCAGATTATGAATGAAATCAAGTGGATTTATTTCTTTACATATTTACAGCTCATTAATACCATGATGAAGTCAACCTTACAGTGGCTGTCAGAGTAAAAACAAGGCTGTGGAAGTCTGCGTCCAGAACCAGAACCAGAACCAGAACATAGACAATCACAGCCAAGGAAACGTCATCTGGGAGAGTGCAAAAGAACAGAGGAGAAAGGCCAAGTCTAGGAGGTGCAGGACAGAGGTCTGGACAGAGCCTCAGGTGAGGGGAGCTGTCCTTCTGAAACAGAGGGAACCACAGACAGACCACAGACATGAGGACAAGAGAGGTCAGAGAGGAAGTGAAGCGAGGGAGGACAGGAAGTGCAGAGGGTTTTGGACGTTGTCCGACTGTGAGGTTAGAGAACAGCAGTGTCAGAGTGTTAGCGCAGGTTAGCGCAGGTTAGCACGGCCAAAATGTGGAGAATCTGACCAATCATCAGCACCACAGGACTCAGCCAATCAGTGAGTGCAGGAGTTGGAGTTAGTGGAACTAAGGAGGAAACAACATGAAGAGTTTTCAAGGAGTGGTCTAAAAATGAAACCGCTGAGAAAACAAATCAACAAGAACAACTGACTCTAAATCAAACTGAAACCATGGAAAAATATTGAGTTTTGGTGAAAAACATTGTTTCTTCATTCAGAGACTTTAGGTTCAGTTTGGTTCAAAGTCGGTACCACAGGAATAAAACTGTTCAGTCTGGATGCACGGCACATGGTCTGGAGTGAATGAGTGAGTCCTGGTTAGTCAACTTGGAGTTTGGACCATGAGGTGTTTGATTTTGATTTACCAGAGGGTTGCCATAGTAACACAATGCAACAACACTGCACGTCTGGTCAGACATTAACTGTACTGTGAGTTCCCCACAGTTAGAAGCTACCTGGTTCTGGACCAGCAGTCTACTGTCCCAGAACCGACAAAGACCAGCTCACCCCCCCTAACCCCTAATCTGGTCTAGACCAGCAGTCTACTGTCCCAGAAAAAAAAACAGCAAACCCCCCCTCCCTCCCCAGCTGTCCAGGCAACACACACGCAGCATGCCTCGACCAGCTCAGGTCCCACACAAGCAAGAAACCCAGGGGACCTGCAGGAGGGTTTTGGGACGATGCTGCTGCTGCTGCTGCTGCTGCTGTTACTGCCTGAGTCAGAGAAGCCTCCACTGTCCAACGGTGTGACAGGACTTGGATGGTTCTGAAATCCAAAACCACAGGACGATGATTACAGGTGAGTTCATCGTTTTCCACCTCAGTTATTATTTGATGGATAAAAAAAAACAGTTCTTTGGTCCAGCGCTAGGTCGGTCTCACCGTCGTCCTCCGTGCTCTCCCGGGGCGGACGCTGGACTGACGCTGGGCCCAGTGCATCTTACAGTAGAACTTTGCTGCCGAGGAAGCAGACGAAAATATTACAGACACACACCAGCTCTTTAGTTAGCATTTCCATAAAATAACTCACCCTCCTGAGAGTCGAAGGTGTGCCCCCCCAGACGGAGCGTGCATTTGCACACGTCACAGCGGAAACACTCGCGGTGGAAGAAGTATCCCTCAGCGCTGAGCCGCTCCATCACGTACACCCTCTTGGTGCAGAAGTGACAGACGTCACTGCCCCCCAGTCCTCCCCCCAAGTCCTTGCGCACCACACACTGAAGACAACAGACAAGGAGAGGACACACACACACACATTTGTCTCCGTCTTTGGAATTTTTCTGTAGTTCTGTCCTTTTTAAAAAAGAACAAAAATATTTAAAATATTCAAGGTTTTCCAGACCCTCCTGGTCCCCCCCGAAAACCCTCAACACGATTGTCCCATTTGTGGAGGACTGTTAGGACACAGAAAGCATGAGTTGAGGGTTAGATTCCTGCAGCTGCCACAGGCACCTTACCGGGGCGTTACCAGGCCTGTGGTCAGTCTCATAGAGGAGGGCCAGCAGCTGAGCTTTGGCGTCTATGGATGAAGACACTTTCCCAACTGTTCGCTAACAGGGTCAGCAGAGACGAGGAGGACGAGGAGGAGGTGAAGGAGACAGAGACAGAGACAGAAGTGTAAGGACAGAAGAGAAGCAGCAGGAGGTGCTCAGACTGGACTGTCATCTTCTACCTCTTTACTGTAACCAGGAGCTCCAGCTGGACAGCTCTCACAGCGAACCAGTGACCTTTGACCTACCCTCCCGGTGTGGTCACCAGCACCTCTACTGGACTGAAGTAGCATGACAAGATAAATGTGATTCAGAGGGAAAAAAAAGTTAAGGTGAGAAAAATCAACAAAGTCCCTCCTGAGTTCCTGCAGGAACTGATGGTTCTTAGTCTAAAGGACTGTCCTGTCTGTCCTGACCAGGCTAGTCTACAGACCGGACTGCTGCACTGACACTGGCTGATCATGATGATGATGTCAGAGAAGTACAGAACTATTCAACAGTGATCTGACTGTTACCTTCAGATCATCAGGTTCAGCCAAGTCACCACCACCACCACCACCGTCACCACCGCCGTCTGTCTCCTGGTCAGTCTGTTCACCACTATCTCCACAGGCTCTGGACTTAGTCACAGACAGTTCCTGCAGCACAGACACACCTCCACAGGTGTCACCTCCTCCACTGTCTCTACTCTCAGTCAAGTCGGAGTGAGGTCGGATCTGACCGACGCTGAACTCTGACCCTTCAGACGGGGCGGTGCTGGGATGTCTGTCCTTTAGTCTGGGAGGGTGTGAGAAAGATGAGGAGGAGGAGGACAGAGGAGCGAAGCCTGTGTGGACAGTGGGGTCAGGAACAGGATGGACCACAGGAAAGAGGTTCTCAGACACAGAAACTGATGGGGGAGGAAATATAGAGGTAGATGCTGCCACCTACAGACACACAGGAAAAATGATGAAACAGGAAGAAAAGAATGGGGGGGGGTTCATGTCATGAGTGGTGGAACACAGAACCTTTGAGTCAGACAGAGAAGATAAAGAAGGAGGTTTGTTGGACCCAGGGAACAGGGAGGAGAGGAGGTCAGCTCTCTCCTTTATGCTCCTCCTGGTAAACTCTCCAGCAGACACCCTCTGGAGGTCAGAGTGGGAACTGTTCAGCATCAACGGTTCCACCTGATCAGGAGTATAAAGACAGGTAGAGGTGGATTCTGGGAAAGAAGGAGGACTGGGCGAGCGAGGAGGAGTGAAGCTCTGAGAGCAGGAAGGAGAAGGAGAACGACTGCAGCTCCGAGGAGGTTTAGAAGAACTGGAGTTCTCCAACAAACGAAGGTAGATGGAAGGCTGCAAAGGGAGGAAGGAGGACACAGAGAGAAGGAGAGGAGTGGGGGAGGGTTTGGATGGAGGAGGTGGCAGTGAAAAAGGAGGAACAGCTACAGTACCTGCCACTTTGGGCGAGCGGGGGTTGAACAAGCACAAGGAGGAGAAGGAGGAGGTTCTTTGGGTTTGGCAAAACGAGGGTTTTCTGTTTCCTCCTTTTCCTCCACATCAGCCTCTCCCTCCTCCTCTGGGGGAGGAAGAGGAGAGGTGGAAGGAGAGAGAGGAGGAGAGAAGGACAGATCAAACTGAGGGGAAAGGAGATAAAGAGAGAAAATAATGAAAACAAAGTGACGAAACCAAGAGGCAGGAGAAGTCCCTCGTCTCCTCTCTCCTCACGTCTCTTCTCCTCACCTTAGTGCGGGTCTGCGTCGTGGAGGAGTTCTCTTCAAACTTGGCCAGCAGCTGTGTGGCCATGGATCGGACCTTGTTCTCCCGCAGTTCTCCATCCTCACCAGCAGGGAGCATGCTGTGGCAGGACAGCTGGAAGCACAGCCCAGTGTGAGGACATGAGCAGGGTTTTCATGGGACACAGAGAGACACGGAGACACTGAGACACCAACCTCAGTCAGGTAACGGTTTCCCCTCCGTCGTCTCTTCTTCGTCGAATCCTCGTCTGACGTTTTGTCCTCCTGAGAAAAGACAGAACATCAGCTGATTCACCTGCAAAAGTCAATCATCACCAAAGAGTTAAAGAGGGAGGTCAGGGGTCAAAGGTCACACCCTGGGTGTCCTCTTCCTCAGCAGCATGATGTTGGACTGTTGTGAAGAACCTTCTCCGTTTTCATCCAACTCTTCTACACCTGCAGAAAAGAAAACAGCACAATCCTCCATCAGTGATTGGTCAGGAAACTGGTCACATGACGACAGACACGTTATCAACATGTGACCACAGAAAGAGAGCACAGAAGAAAAGTAGGAGGAGAGAAGAACTCTGACCGTTGTTGAGTGACGAGTTCCTGAAGGTCTCAAAGAACTTGGACAGGTAGAGAACCATCAATAGTTTGTCCGGTTCTGACCCAGCTTCCATCTCCTTCCCCGTGGTCATCGGCTGGATTCCAAACTCTCGCTCCGCCACGTCAAACGCCAACTGGTTGTTTCTGGCCACATCGTCCTCGTTCAGCGATTCGTAATCACTGGGGGGGTCAGAAAGACGGGACAGAATGTCAGGAGGAACTCTAGGTTCTCACGTACTGCTATGGTTCCTGGAGTTCTTACATGAGTTCTGGCCTCTGTCTGTGAATGAGAGCACACAGAGCCAGGCCGTCCCTCCACGAAGACGTCAGGTTGGTGACCTCCACCCCTCTGTAGCCCTGCGTCTGTCGTTGACACCAGCTGAGCAGACGGCTGGGTCGAACCTCGGACTCTGCAGGAGAACCATTATCACTTCACCGTAGATAATCAACAGTCCAGACATGGAACTCATCTGACCAACACATCATGGGTTGTGGGTGAAATTACTTGATTGATTTCGCACAGCGAATGTTGCACAGATGGATTTACGGTGCAGCCAAATCTAGATATTAGCCAGAAGACATCTGGATAACATACCTCCCTTGGACCGGTTGACTGACCGTCCTGTGTGACCGCCCCCTGCCAGTCTGGAGGAACCCTGCAGACCATCCAGGTACAGGTGACGAACCTGAGAGAAAGAGAAGTCCAAACTCAGAAAAACAGGAAGCAGGTTTTCAGACATCCCATAAACCCGGGTCCTGACCTGGTGTGGTTTCACACAGTTGGCGCTGAGGTTGGGGTACCGCGTGGACGGGTCGATGCTGTACTGCTCAAAGTTCTTGCTGATGTTCTCCGGGGTGGTCTGAGGCAGCAGTCTGTAAATACTGGCTCTGAAGAGAGAACAGAGGTCAGAGGTCAACTACTAACCAGAAACAATCAGCTGATCGGATTCACAGAAACTAGTCATCAAACTAATGACTTCTGATTGGCTGAACTAGAAACTCGTGCTGGTTTGGATCTTATTGTCTGGTACCTTTCTGCCAGGATTTCCAGAGGGTTCCGTCCCTGTGCCCAGCCTCGCACCATCCACGCCGCGTCGAAGGCTGCCAGGAAACCCCGAGCACAGCCTGTACCCATGGGCCAAAAGGGCTGTGAGCAGAGGACAGAGAAGGTCACCGGGGTCAAGGTCAAGGTCAGGAGCCCACTGTTGAACCCTTACCTCCAGGAGACTGTCTCCCACCAAGGCCACCAGCAGCTGGTGTCCATGTCTCTCCCTGATCAGAGCAGCGTTCTCGGCGGCGTACATGCAGGTGAAGTCGAACATGGCCACGTCCGGCTGGCCGTAGTGGTTGATGGCGTAGTCCAGAGACGGCAGGTGGTAGTTGGTGCCGAAGTCAGCGGCCTCGCGGGCGTAGGACAGCAAGGCTTCCTGGTCCACGTTGTCAAGACTTAGCAGTCGCTCTGTTTCAATGTAGTCCTGTGGAAGGACGGAGAAGGAAGGTGCACAGCTAATGGTAGGTTCGATGCCAAACCAGACAACATTGTTCACTTCATTTGTGTTCTTGGTTTCCAGCTCCACCATTAGGGTTCCAGAAGGTTCCAGAAGCACTTTTTCTTCTGACTTTTCCTACACTAAACGAATGAACCCAGTTACTCACACACACTCACATTGATGATGACGCCTTTGTCCAGCAGACTCTGCTTCTTCGCCGTCATGACAAAGTAGTGCGTGTTGTCTCTGTAGTACACGATGTTCTCCAGATCGATTCCTAGAAAACATGTTCGTTCAGACGAGGACACAGTGAGAGGAACAACAGAAACTTTGGTCTCGTCTCACCCGTCTCCTCTTTTAGTTCCAGAAAGAACTTCTGGTTGAAGATGAAGGCCACGCCACTGATCTCCTCCACCTTGGCCTCGGCCGTGGTGTTCCTGTTGACAAAGTTAGCCGTGATGGCGATGGCCAGCTTCCCTCGGAACTCTTTACGACTGAATCCTGTCGATAAAGAAAAAGACAATGAGGGAGAAACTTAGTATCTTAGTCCAGGCGCTTGGTCAAACTAGGATCTCATTTAGAGGGAAAAAGACTGTAAAGAATGGACATTCATCGTAGTTGGACAACAACATAAGAACAGATCCGTTGGTCTGGACTCCCAGAACCACACGTCGGATCAAATTTAAATCAGGTTTTGTTTTTCTCACCCTCTAGTGTGGATCTGCGTCCATCAGCTCCGATCACGACGTCAAAGTCAAAGTCGGAGACAGGATGTGAGGGTGGATTGATCTGAGCTCTCCATCCAGGACCTGCAGGAAAAAGGATGAAGGAGGACCAGATCACTGTCACTGACAGTATCGTCATGGACACAGGGAGTGGTGAGGCGGGGTCAAGGCTGGACAAATGTCCACCTTCAGGTCACATGATCAGATTGTTCCAAACTTTATAAACACAGATCCTATTTCCAGAAAGGTTAGAGGAATAACAACTATTTACCTTTTTGATTTTATTTTCTATTTGGAGGCAGGAAGTGCCAGGACATCTGACGTCTTAGTGATATTAGCATAGCATCATGTTAGCATCAGAGAGGCAGTTTAAATAGTTGATTTTGGTTTGTTTGGTGCAGTAGAGTTCTCAAACAAAGGGCAACTGTATCAGTGAGTCGGAGGTATTTCTACTAGTGTCAGCAGGGGGCACCAACAGCTCCAACATACAGTCAATATGAATGAATTCAATTCAGTGATGGATCAGTTCTGGTCACTTCCTGTACCCACTGTACAGAGGTAAAACATGCAGAACACACACACACACACACACACACACACACTGAACTCACCGTCACCAGTTTGCTCTGATGGAGGTTCCGTTAGTTTGACAAACTCCACGTTGACATGAACTTCTACTCCCAGAATCAGACACACTTTCAGCAGCATGAGCTGCAGCTGACGGATACCTGTGGAGGGAACACACACAGATTACAGTAATCTGATTACTGTATTCTGAATGAAGTGGGTGTGAGCGCCCGGTCGACAGGAGTACTCACTGATGTGATCGATGGAGCCGGCACAGAACTTGCCGTAGAACTTCTTGGCTTCGAGGCCCTTGAGGTCATGAATGGTGAAGGGCCACAGGTGGAGGACGTTGTTCCTGGAGAAGGTGTCTCTCTTCTCAATCACCACCACCTTACAGCCCAACAACGCCAACTCGATGGCTGTACGGAGACCACACGGTCCTCCACCGATGACCAGGCACTGGGTGGGGTCACATCAGACTACATCAGACTACATCAGACTACATCAGACTACATCAGACTACTAGACACTGATGTTTTAGTGACAGAAGCAGAAAAACTCTTCAGGACTTCAGACTGAAGTCGACGATAAAAGCCTGTGTACGTATCTGCGCCAGCAAAGTGCTGCCACCTGCTGGATATCAGAGACTGACATATTGTAATGGTGGTGTTAACAGACAAGTTCTCCACACAGTTATTGATGAACAAGCATCAACCACCAATCAGAGGAGCAGAACATTTTAGGTCTCCAGGTAATTCAAAGTTAGAACAAATGTAAGACAAAGGATCAGTTAACCTTTGTCTGGAAGGAGCTCAAATCACAAAACAAATTCACAAAAGCAGCTAAAAAAAATAAAAACTACAGGTTAGAAACAAGTACCAGGACCAGGACTTGGTTGGTCCTGTGCTGGGGTTTCTTATTTGCCCTCTTACCCTGGTTCCCTCACAGGCTCTGTTCTGGCTGTAGACCTTGTGCTGTGCCCTCTTGTCCAGTTTGGTCCACAGAGCCTTGACCTTCCAGGAGCTGACGGCGACCTTCAGAGAGCTGTAGAAGTTCTTGTAGTCCAGAGGGTCCAGCTCCAGCTGCCTGCAGAGGATGCTGAAGGCCTGCAGCGTCCCTTTACAGGTGGACGTCTGGACAAAGTTCTCAAAGAGCTGACTGGCCTGAGCCGTGCGTTCGTCCTCCGTCTCACCCATCTGTGACAATGGAGACCCCTGGTGTCCAGAGTCTGGTCTAACGTCCTGTTGGTTTAACTCCTATCATGCATTCATCTCCATGACTGGAAGGTTCTGGAACGTTGAAAAAATGATAAATATGAATGGAAATCTTTTACTCAGACGTTCATTTTTAACCACTGCAGTTCAAATGGTTTCATATTTCATGTTTTCCTGTTTTGACTCAGTGGAAGTCACATTCCCAACATTAGGAATGTCAGACTCTGAAAATAACCTGCAGAGGGCGACATGTGACCTCACCGAGACTCCAGTGTCACCTCCTGCATTCTGTCAGGAGTTACTACGGAAACACAGTCAGGGACCGGGCTTTGACTGACAACAACCATCAACACACACACACACACACACACACACAGACACACACAGATACAGTGGTGGCTGATAGGATTACGCTCAGACTGAAAGGAGAATCTGCAGGACTGGACCTGGACCTGGACCTGGACCTGGACCTGGACCTGGACCTGGACCTTGACCTGCCGAGGCCACAGATTCAGGTGGAGGGGGCAGGCACAGTGGTTGGGAATCACAAAACAATAATAAGAGAAGACGCCCTCCAGTGGACAGTCAGGGGACGGCAGCTTCTTCCTGGTTGGCCTCACTACAGTCTCTAACAGTCTGTTTTATTTGTTACAGTAGAAAAGGTCATGAAAGGGCAACCCCAGAACATTCTGGATCTCATCTCTGTCAAGGTATCATATCCTGATCACTCACACACAATCTCTCTCTCTCTCTCGCTCACACACACACACTCACACACACACGTTTGATCAAATCTTGTGAAACAAAATCACCTGAAAATTTCATTTGATGTGACTGAAATTAAAACGTTGGTCTTTGAAATTGTTCCAGTTCTTCCTGAAGACACACACACACACCACACACACACACACACTCCGTTAAGACCTTGAGTGGCCCATAGGGGGTCTCAAGTCTCTGCTAACTGGCAGCAGTGAGAAGCCTCTCAATTACTATTGGCGTCATTGGGGACAAACACACACACACACACACACACACACACACACTCCTAAAAGTCCACACACGTCCAAACAGACACTTTGATGTCACAGCGTCAGACTCCAACAGGAAACACTGATCCAGGAGTAAAGAAAAGAAAACAGTGATGCTACGTCGTTCAGCTGTGGACAACAGCACCTGAGACATGTCAATCATCACATGACACCATGCACAGGGGGATTCTGGGAGTGAAAAAGCAGGAAGCAGTTCTACAAGACCTACAGGGACGTTGGTCTTTGAATCTGCTAAACCCACACAGTCTGGGTTCTGTCAAAGTACCACACTAGTTCAGACCCATCCTTTTGGTTTTGATGGTTAGAGACGAGGACTTAGGTCCGGAAGGTTTCAGCATCCAACATTGTCCAATGTCATCCAACAACGAGATCGGAGCAGCTAATGACAATAAGTCCATTCGACACAGCTATAGAAAACTAAAGGCCTACAGGGTTCCACAGGGGAATACTTTATTGATCACTACTGCCACCTACTGTCACCGATTCACTGGCATGTCTCAGTCTGCTTGGACCCATCACAGAGACCAGTTCTCAGGCCGAGACAGGAAGTGTCAGGCTGAGGTGGAGGTCTAACATCAGGTTACTGTCTCCTGAGGCTCCAGGAAAGTCATCCGACAGGTGAGAAACCGAGAGGCAGGACAAAGAGACAAAGAGACAAAGAGACAACAGGGTTCAAAGAGACAAAACGTAACCGTGGGTCAATGTTTACTCTGCAGAAATGGACGAGCTGGGATCTGGGACACAACAACAGAGGCTGCTCCAGGACAGTGATATAGTCCAGTTAGACTGGTCTACAGACCTCTGAGGACGTCCACCGTCAGATCAACACTCCACAGTGAGAGGACAGAGTGAAAGCACAGAGCGTTAGGACAGAGTGAGAGGACAGATTGTCCTGGAACAAGACCAGCTCCAAACTATTATACAGTTGACAAAGTCAAGTCAAAGTCCTCCTCCTCCGTTTCCTCCTTAGTTTATTCTGTGCCGTACCACTGCAGCACAGCTTCTCAGACAGGAAGTTTCTTTTTCTTCTATATCTACGTCCCTCATCAGACCACTCCACCACACGCCTATACTTACACTACAGATAAGAGGGATGGGGTGGGGAAGGGTAGGGAGGTAGGGAGGGCAGCCCACTTATCACATACTTCTGCCTCCCCCAGAGGGAGAGAGCAGCCCCGTTCCCCCACGTCACTCAGCCAACAGAAAAACATCTACAACTCTGGTCCTTTTTCAAAATAAAACATCGTTCAGAATCAGCTGATAAATAAAAGGGAAATAATGTAAGTTATGCATTCTTTCTGTGCAGCCCAGTACCAACTGACCCACGGACCGGTGCCGGTCCACGGCCTGGGGTTTGGGGACCGCTGGTCTATATAACATACATGGTTATGACTCTCAGTGACCAGTAACCAGGAGAAAAAAAATCCATGTTTTTAGTTTAAGGGGACACAGGACCTGCTGGTCCACTACTGCCTCAGGTGGTCAGTTTGTGTCATGACTGAAGAAAAAGCAAAGGGGTCAAACACAGATGTCAGAACCGATGTCTGGTCCAATTAATGATGTGAACACACGCACAAGTTCCCCCACAGGGGGCGGTGGAGCAGCAGTAGACCTGATGTTGGTTAGGACTAACGGCAAGACTGAACCTGGAGACTCTGAAGAAGTTCTGGGTCCATTACTGCTCCGTCGGTAAGTTTATGTCAATCTTCTCTGGACTAGAACTGTTGGTTCTGCTCTGGGCCCTTCCTCCAGCACCTACACCAGCGTCCTATCAGCAGCCCACAGTGACACTCAGCTCCCTGGTGTATTTCTGTCCTTGGTGCTGAGACATGCAGTGACACCCGCCGCCCCCACTCCTCCCCCATCTCACCCCTACTCCTAGCTAAAAGTCAACCACTTATTCCAGGAAGCTTCAGCTCGGCCACCGTGGCCCAGATAAGTAGGAAGGTTTCCCTGACTAACGTGGGGAGGTTCGAAGCCCAGCAGCAGGAAGTAAGAGTCCGTCTCCACGCCAGGCCACAGGCCAGAGCTTGATTTAACTCCCAGCCAGACTCCCAGTGATTATGGTCTGTCCTGACGTTACCCTCCAAACAGAGACCTGAAGACTCGGTACCTGTTCTGCTCCAGTGAGACCTGAATCTTTCAGGGAGGGTCTCAAATCACCGATGAGGGCACTCGTTAATCTAAGAGCTCATTTCTAATTAAGACACAAATCCATTACTGTAGTAGTTTGATAAATTGTTGAAACCTAAGACCAGGACAGCTGTAGACCAGAGCAGGCCTGTGGGCCGGACCGGGTTTCATCAATCCACCTGCTGCTGCTCAAGTGTACCATAATATTATAGCAGCACGTACGTGCACTGGAAGTCACTCATGTGTGATGACGATGAGGCCACGTTTCACTTGTCATCCAAGAGAATTCTTCAGTCAGATGTTGCCTCTGACTAAGCCTTCAAATACAGTACAAGTGAATGATATTATTATCAAGGTCTGACGCTACACAGGACGCGCTGTTAGACAGCGGCTATATTAAAGTTACTCGTTCTACTCCTCACGCCCCCGCCTGGAGGCTGTTTGAACAGCGTCCTACACACAGAGCAGGGAAATCACCTGCCGCGGTGTTGAATAATTCAAACTTGGTAGACGCGCGTCAAAAAGCAGCTTTTGGCTGCTCCACACAGCGTCAGATGATCTGAGCAGCCGGGAAAAACATTCCTGATCAGCTCTGAGTCGAGTTCTCACGCTCACTGAGGACAGAGCAGGAAAAAAAGAGTGTGTTTGAACCAAAGGTACTCACGGGAACAGCGGCGGAAGAAGAACAAGAGCCGACACCGAACTTCACAGAACTTCAGCGTTTATAATCCGGAACCACGGACCACTGAAACAGAACCAGACTCTGAGCTGCCGCCGCACAGCTGTTCCCTTGAGGAGTGGGGGTGAGGGGGAGGGGGAGGAGAAAGAGGGAAGAAAAGAGAGAGAGAGTGAGAGACGTCTTATTTACGGTCAATTTCACAATAAAAGTCTTCAGAGCGTCACTAAGCTAATACTGTACTCTAGCTAGCTTTGGCTAAAATGTAACTTTTTCTTGGAACTTCATCAACAAGTTCAAATACGAACTACACTTGGAAATATATACTTCTCCCTTTTGTACTTATTGCCATTTCTCTCTCTATATATTGTTAATTCTTTAATAAGCCTGCTCTCTAGCGGTGAAAAATTGCAATGGCACTGTTTTTAAAGCATTTCTTTAATTTGTTGTAAAATTGTTGATTACGTATAAAACGATTTGATTCATGTCGACCATATACGTTTGTTAATTAGGAGATATTTAGGGGCACGAATGACGCAAATCAGCACGTCATCAATTTAATTTATTTAAATTCATTAAGCTTCATATCAGTCACTAACCTGAGTGCTGGTGGGCGGAGCAAAGATCAAAGTTTTTTTCCACTAGTGTACTTTGATAAGATGAAAGGTTACGGAAATATAGTTCCAGTTTTAAGCAAAAGCAGGCAGCACTATAACAACACGAAACATGAACACGAAAACCTTTTGTCGATTAACATAAATAAGAAAAAACCTAAGTCAAAAACATTAAGTCTCCCTGACAGCTGGTGACGTATCTACAGGGTAAAAGGTAATAACTACAGAACTAATGAGTTCTGGTAATAAATTAAAAACCACCTGGTTACAAATAAATAAAATAAATAAATAGGCAAACAAAAAGTTACTTGTCGCGGCCTGTTTGCTATCGGGAGCTAATTTCCGGTTTGGTTTGGCAATCTGGAGGAGGCGGGGCTTCGTTAAGGTGACTTCCGGTTTGTTTCCAAGGCAACGCCTTCAACAGTTCCAAACATAGTCCGAGTCCGAGCTGCTGCTGCATCTGAAGGAACATGAATTTACAGTAAGTGAAACAGACGAACCGTCATGATTACAAATGCAACCGCAACAGTTACTTCGGATGTTTTAAAGACGACCCTGGGTGTATAAACAAAATGTGACGTCACTGCAGCGCGTGCACTTTAAGAACGTGCGCGGCCCGCGATGTTTTGACAGTGAACCGGGTTTTGTCTCCATTTCCACTAGAAAACCCGCAGAAGGGCCGATGAACGATGACGGTCAACCTGCAAAAAATGGTGAGACTCAAACTGCCGCTCACCTGTGACGTCATCACGTAACGCAAGCAGACTCTGACAAGAGTGTGCAGCAGTACAGTAGCTTTTAATTTACCTCAGGTGAAAACAAATCAGATATGATCACAGTCTGGTCGGTGTGGGGGGGGGGCAGTGTGGGGGGGCGAAGTTTTCTTGTCTTTAAAGTACTTTAAAGTATCAAACATTGACGACAGTGTGAAAATATTCAAATCAACACAATAATACTGCAAAGACAGATAACAGGCAAATATTTACATACCATATATACCATAAATATATAAGCCAAATATAATCAAAATACATCAACGATCTAACGATGTGTGTGTGTGTGTGTGCTCGCAGGCTACTCCTCAGTTATTTCCCAGATTCCAGGTCTGTCCTCCACCCTGAGGTCGCTCCCTGAGGAGAAGAGTCAAGGACGCAGGTTCCGGGTCCTGGACAGCGACTCAGAATACGTCAAATTGGCCAAACAAGGAGGACACAAAGGTGTGTGTGTGTGTGTGTGTGTGACTGTTACACACTCCTCGTGCTTTTGTCACTTCTCTCACTGACATCTGTGTCTGTGGACCAGGACTTCTGTGGCACGAAGACACTCCGGCGTCTTCGCCTGCGGAGTACAGGCCTCCAGACTGGTTCTGTCCAGCTGAGGAGGACACCAGGAGGCCCAGGTACAGCCACTCTCCCCCCTCCCTCCTCATGCTTGGCTGGCCTCCCTCGTCTCCTCCTCCTGTTTAGACTCCTCTGTTGTGTTTTTCCAGCAGAGTCTCCAACAGTGACGAGAAGAAAAACTCTGGAGGCTTCCACCAGCTGGAGCCTCCCTTTGGTACAGACAACATGTCGGCCTGGGAGAGGGGAGACGACAGCGGCAGTTCTGAGAAGGTACACACATGTACACACACACACACACACTAAGATGTGCTTTAAATCAAAGACTAATTTTCTTTTTTTCCCCTTCCATACTCGCCCCTTCTTCCTCCTCCTCTCCCCCCTCCCTCCTGTTCCTAAACTTCTTGCCCTCCTCCGTCCAATCGGTTCTCATAGAACAACAACCATGTCTCTGGTCCTTCCACAGACAAATCCCAACAGGGCACTCCTGAGTTCTCCCCAGAGTCCGGCAAATACAAGAGGATGTGAGTGCACGTTACCACATGAGGGCGCTGCTGTTGTTAGTGGTTTTGGTTTCAATTATTGACAGAAAGCTCACCTCTGTACAAATGCTGTTTTTCTGGTTTTCAGAGTTTATGACAAGAGACCAGCTCCTGTCAACATGTCCAAGCTGCTCAGCTTTGGTTACGCTGACGACAAGAGCTCGTCCAACGGTCAGGGGACGTACAGGAAACTGTAGCTCCTGCCGTTCAACAAACGGACTGACCCAGAGTGTAAAGGGGAGTTCATGTTTTGAAGTGTCGTAGTAGGAGGTTCTGATGTGTTTAGTCAAACTGTGGACATGGCTGCGTCTCCTCACTGATGGACAACCACGTCTCTGGGGACACAGAGAAAATCAGCAGTGTCATTTCATAATACACATGAATAGTTGGCCCACTGCTGCCACCTAGAGTGAGTTCAAATTTGTTACATACTGACTTAGATTGGAAACACACTGTATCTCCATCCTCGTGACCACATCCACCAGAGGAGGCAGCAGTGAGCCTGTGGCTGCCCTGTCCCCACACCCCTATTTACACTAACAGCTTTTTATTTGAATTGTTGTGATTGTCAGCAGATTAGAAACTGCCAGTGTGTGGAAAGATCCAACATCTTCTTTTAAAACAATAAGTTGGTTAGGTGGTGGTGATTTATTTCTGTTTTGTATGTGTGAACTCGTGTAAATCGATACATGACCCCTGATATTTATGTGCTGCTGTTGTTTTTTTTTTTATTCAAACTGTGAAGAACAATCACTTTTCAAAAATAAAAAAATTGAACAAATGTTGTTGCTGTTTTGACTATTGTCAACGTAGAAGGAGATGGTTGGGTTGGAAAATTAAAGACTGGAGGAGAAGAAGGTCACGGAACAAACTTCTCAATTTATCCTAAACCACTTAAAACCTAATTTGTATGCATTTGCATGTCCTTTTGATTTTAGTTAGTTTTATTATTTATTGTATGCTATGTTTATTTCGTGATAAAAAGTCTAGTTCCGGTTGGAAGCGTTTTTAGTCAAGTGTCCGATTTAACTGTTGTTTTATTTAGTCGCTTTACTTAGTAAATTACTATACTTATTGCTTTATTTAATCGCTTTACTTAGTAAATTACTATACTTGGTTATTAACATAAATAAGTTATTTGCTTATATTTGTCATCTTTCAAATATATGCCAACGGTCATATTTATATTACGTTGCACAAACCGGAAATAGAGCAGTCGGTCATATTTTATTGACGGACACAAACATTCAACTGCCGCACGTGTCTGTTTCCTCCCTCAGAAGACTTCCATGGAGTCCATTCTGCTCGGTCTAAATGACGGAGAACTGGACCCAAACCGACACCGCACCACCTTTATCACCAACAAGGTCGGTGGAGAACCGGACTGGTGCCACGGTCTACGCGTTCCCTGTCCCCGTTGTGCTCACTGCGGAGCCCCGCTGGCCCTTGTGGTCCAGATCTACTGCCCACTGGACGTTTCACCTCCCTACCACAGGAACCTTCACCTGTTCGCATGTCCAGCCGCGGGGTGCAACGGACGGGGACGGAGCTGGAGGGCGCTCCGCTCCCAGAGTCTGGTGGATCAGGCGCGGACAAACAGCCACGCTACCGCGGCTCAAGAACCTCCTTTGTCGGCCACAGAATGGTGTGCGGGCGCCGATGACTGGGGGGCGGAGGAGGGGGAGAGTGATGGATGGGGAGCAGGTGTAAAAAAGGAGATCCAGAGCCAGGTGAAAGAGAAGAAGGAAGCAGCTACTGAAACAGACGGTAGGAGGCGCAGCGACACTTTCTCACTTCCTTCTTGTGTTTTTTTTTTTTTCCAAACAGACATGAATCTAAAGTAGGCTACTTTATAATCGTATAGGAGAGAATTTATTTTATTTTTAAAATTTATTTTTAAAACTAGTAGTTTTTGGAGTCAAAATGTTTTTTGTTTTGTTTTTTTGTAGTTTTTGGAAAAACAAGGCAAGATGAGATATAATACACACGTCTTTAATTTTCGTACGTTATCTTTTACGCTTTGTGCTAGTTTAAGGATAGTTTTGGTTGATCACTGACACCTGGTGATTAGTGTGAGTAACTGCATGTTAAAAACATACACGTATATTTCAAGGATTTGTTTTATGTCCTCACTTACTCGGCAGGGGGCGCTGCTCTCAGCTCAGGATTCCAGGACCTTTGTTTGGAAGGGTCACGTGACAACGCTCCTGTTTTCCACCCATTCTTCAATCAGCGTGATAGAGGAGTCAGATCTGGGTGTCAAGGGTGACGGGAACCAGGAGCACGTCCAGCAGCTGCTGAAGGAGTACGAACACAGAGAGGGCGTGGTCGTGGAAGAACTGGACCACGCCCAGGACGTCAGCAGCGGTGGCGAGGAGAAGTACGAGAAGTCCAGTGCCAGACACGGAGATGCCATCTTCTCCAGGTTCATGAAGAGGATCTCGCTGTGTCCGCAGCAGATCCTTCGTTACCATCGGAGCGGGGAGCCGCTCTTTATCTCCGAACCCCCGTCCAACCTCACCCAGGTGGTGCCGGCGTGCAGCACGTGTGGTGGACACAGGACGTTTGAGCTGCAGGTGATGCCGGCGCTGGTCAGTCTGCTGCGGAGGGTGGATGGTGGTCCTGAGGAGGAGCTGGACTTTGGGTCAGTTCTGGTTTTCACCTGCACCAACAGCTGCTGGACTGAAGTGTCAGAGTACAAGGAAGAGTTCTGCTTTGTCCAGGATGACCCTGACCAGCAGCTGTTTAAATAAACCTCCAGAGGGCGCCACTTCTACACTGCGAATACAGTGTTCCCTCTCTATTTAATTTCCAATATTTTCATTATTCTTGTGATACAAAACATTTTCTAACCTAAAATAATTAAACAGTAAATATATATATATATATTCTAAAATAATGGCACATACGAAAGTGTTGGCTTTAAAAATGGCTACGTTTACCTGGACAAGATCGCGCACAGCATTTTATCGGCTGGTTCAGCGTTTACTTCTGTTCCTCACGCTGATTGGCTCATGCATCGTAGCATCTTTCAGCATCTGCCCTTGTCTGAGCGCCATCCGTTATATAGTAACTTAGTGTAAAATCTGCTCTTGTGTTTGGTGAAAGTTGACCCTAATCTAACGCTCTACGACGCCTCCTAAACTCTGATCATCTTCTCAGGCTTCTGATACGAAGCCCAAACGAAGACACAGATGACAGTTAACGGCCTTTCATGTACTATATGACTAATTGGGCTGTACTCTGTCAGAATTTGTCAATTTTCTGGGTAATAGTTAAGATAATCTCTAATCTCAATCTCTAATGTAAGCTAACTTTTAGCAGTGTGAAACATGAAGGTGTTGTCCTGCTACGTTGTTTTTAACATTCAGCTGTGGACAGTTTGAGGAGCGTCGGTTCCTTCATTGCTTTTAAAACAAATCAAAACAAAGACGAGGCTCTGATTTTTCTTTACTTTCACCTGTAGTACATGTTTCTTCACAGCAGAGACGGCATTCGTCTGGGGACAAACCACACACATGTTAAAAAGGAGGAGGTTGTGGGTTTTAAACCCTATCAAAAATAGATTTTCTTCTTTGAACAGCCAATAAATAAGGAACAGTGACGGTACTGATTGTTGGAGCACAGTAATGCTGGAACAGTCGGTACTAAAGCACTTTGTAGATGATTTTCAGCCCTTCTATTGAAGTGTCGTCAAAAAAATGCAGAACAACAACAACCTGTGGTTTGTCACTGAGGTACCGGTTTTAAAGCTGGGTTCCAACCGCTTAGCACCAGGAGCTGTTAGTAACAGGAACCATTACCATGATTCCTGATTAAATAGTTCTGATTGTTCTTTACAAGAGTCCCACAAAGACGCACACATTGGTTCTGAGAACAAACCAGTGACTGGTCAGGAGGTGTTGGTTCAGTTCTACAGGGCCCAGAGACCTGGTTCATTCCACAGTGACTTGGTCCAGAACACTGAAGACTTTGGACCTCAAACCTAACTCTACTTTTCTTAGTCTACGGTACAGACCTGAATCCTGACTTGGACTTGGACTCTGTCTGAGACTGGGACTGAACTCCAGTGCTTCTTTGGTGACTCAGACTGTCAGTGTTCTCAAAGTGGGGGTGTGGCCCTCACCCAGGTGACGCCAGAGCACTTTAGAAATGAACAATAAGAAAGGTGGGTGAGGACAACACTTCAGGGACAGAAGGGAGGGAGGGGGGTCCACGAAGTCAAAGACTTAAAGTCTTAGACCATGACACTGAGACCTGAACCTTCAGTTTTACTGCGGTTGGTCTCTGTGTCTACTCATGGTCTCCTGGACCTCTGGACCTGATGGTCAGGACTCACTGTTAAGCTGACCCAGTGCCTTCGTCTGGTTCTAGCCCCTATGGCTGTCCCTGTAGTTTCTGGTACCTTTTCTTGTTCCTGGTACTAGTACGTGTTTTGAAACAAGCCCTAAAATTCCTGAGACAGAAGTGGAAACTTCAGTGTGAGGCCTCTGATTGGTTCTCCAGGCACTTGATGATCAGTCTGATCTGATGCGCTGATTGTCGGCTTCGTCATTCGTGCCCAAAAGGCTGCGTGAGCCCACCAGGTGGCGCCAACACAGCGGCGGTGTTTCTCCTGCTGATTTTATTGTGGAGCTCCTCCACAGTAGGTGGCAGCAGCACCAGTGGACCTGTGCTCCCAGTCGGACTGCTGGTACTGCTGGTACTGGTCAGAGTGGTCAGAGCGTGGGCTGCCAATGTCTCTGTCGATGATCTCGTTCACTGAAACACAAAAAATTTTTCTCACTTGAACAACACGTCTGCTGTTAACATGCTAGCAATGCCTTAGTTTTTAGTAGTCTCTCTCTCCCGCAGTTCCATGACAGACCACAAGAGTGTGCACCTGGGCCTTAAGTGCTATTTAGAGAAAAACATGTCTTCAGCAGCAAACAGCCTGACAGCCTGCTTTGACTCTATTTACAGAAGAACAAATGGTTTCATCCCTGCTTCATTCCATTTATTTATAGCAGGGCGGTGAAACCTGAAGCTGAGAAACAAAGAAAACAACTCTGAGTCATAGCAGTTCCAACTGATTTAACTTTCAGTGTATGTTTAGTGAAGGAGTTGATCGCAGCTCCTGTGTCTCTGAGCTAAAATCACTGGTTTTCTCTGTGGATTTTGGTCTGAGACTTTAAGAAAACTCCAAAGTAAAGGTGTGGTTTAACTTTCACCTTTTGAGTTTGCTCACAGCTGAACGGTTCTGGGTGGAGGGTCAGTGGGTGGAGGTGCCAGAGGGTTGGGGTTTAGGGTCAGAACCCTCACAACAGCTGAGACTCTGCCATAAATGTAAACCCTGTCTGCATCGTTTAGATCTGTGACCAGCAGACAACAGGGCAAATACCACACACACACACACACACACACACACACGTGTTGTCCTACCATCGTCAAGCGTGATCTCCTGGAGACCCAAAGACCTCAGACTGGGCTGCTCCTGCTGCTCCTCCTTGATGTTCAGCACAGGCTCATCATGGAGCTGAGCGGAGGTGACGTAGGCAGATGCTGGATGTGCTCTGCGTAGACCAGTGGGGGAGCCACTGGGGGACAGTGAGGAGGTGTAAGGAAGTGTAGTGAAGCTCTGATGAGGGACAGACGGCGCTGGAGGAGACAGCGTGGACATCTGAGGAGGGAGGCTGAAGGACTGGGCAGACAGGATGGATGTTTGAGAGGGAGTGGAGGAGAAGGATGAGGGCTGAGGAAACAATGGAGGGTTTTGAAGAGGAGCAGAGGATGGAAGAGGGGGAGGAAGGAGACAAGGAGGTTTGTGAAAGGGCCGACCCTGTGAGTGTCCGGGGGGGTCGCAGGAAGGGTAACAGGGCAGATCTGGACCCAGTCCAGGTGGGTGGTAGGAGACGTGGTCCAGGTTCCAGTGCTCCTGCTTGATCAGAGGAGGTCCAGCAGCAGGAGCAGCAGGACGAGGAGCTCCAGGCCTGGGCAGGTAGGTGAAGTTCTGCACCACACTTTTTCTCCTCTTCCCGTTAGAGACGTAGAAGTGGACTTGGACCGGAGCACTGGTCTTCTTGTAGAACGGAGGGACCTCCACTGTGACGCTGGACTGGAGGACAGAGGACACACACACAGGACCATGACAAGGTTCTGGTTCCACCTGGATCAACAACGTTTTAACTCTAGACTGGCTTCAGACAATTCTTGGCTATCCTTTAGCTATCGTCTAGCTAACTCAGCCATGTTTTTAGCTCGTTGTTAGCATTAGCTCGGTGTTCATCTCTGATCAATCTTTTCTCTACTGTACAGCAGCCGTTAGCTGCGTGGGCTAATTGGTCTGTTTCCTGGTTAGACTAAATCTGAGCTCACTTAGAACACAGGTGATTGCCACCGCTGGGCTAACCTTTAGCTGGTGTTTGTAATGTGTCAGGGTCCACTCACCCCACTGCTCCTCTCTGACACCACCGTGGCCTCCAGCTCCCACAGTGATCGTCCATCTGAAGGACAGAACAACGGCGGCTCACTCTGACGGTAAACAAATCAAATGTAGACCAGTGACCAGAACATGAAGACCACCCCGAGTCTCACCTGGTCCCTTCTCCATGAAGACCACTGTGGACTGGGAGCAGATGTTGGACCCAGTGATGGTCAGCTCCTCTCCTCCGTCCACAGAGCAGCAGTTTGGACTGAAGCTCTCCACCTGAGGAAGCTCCTGACCGGAGCGCTGGGCTGGAACACACACACACACACACACACACACAGTTACTTTGTTGACGTGTTTTTTCACATGTGAGTGTTAATTAAAAGTGGACTCACAACACTCCACAGGAATGGACACCGTCTGCAGCCACAACATGTGAGCGTCCGGCTGTGGGACCGCCGCCCTGAACACCACCCTCACCCTGGTGTTCTTCCTGCCGATGTCCGTCTCACCTTTCTTCAGCTCGATGTCCGTGTTTCGCAGCTTCAGGATTCCAGCACAGTCGATGCTGCGTGAAAGCACAAGGAACAGATGGCTAACGGCTAACGTGAACTGAGCATAAAGACGGTTCTCCGACGGTTCTCCGGAGAACTGGCTGTGTCAGCAGCGGACCACAGTACCTGGCACACATGTTGTTCTCTGGAAGCAGAGGGATCTCCAGGACTTTGGTGAAACCGAGGACCTTCTCCTGACAGCTGGTGGTCACTGTTTTTCCAGTCACTCTGTGGACCTGGTAGAAGGAGTGTGGGCGGAGGTACCGGTCGTCGGCGGTACCGATAAATGACAACATGCTGACCGGCCGATCTGTGTATCCAATCAACTGCGGACACCAGAAAAAAAAACAGCAGCTGATGACATCATATGAGGACAGTAGATCGTTAACAAGGAACGGAGCAAAATGTTCACAAAACAAAGAATGAAACTGAGTAAAACTCTACAGCAAAATCAGCAACAGCTGTGTATATATATATATATATATATATATATATATATATACACCTAACAAGAAGCTGATGCAAGAAAAAGCTAAAACACACAATGTTGGACCCTCTCTAAGTGTGCAGTTTCGAGTCACAGCCTCCTTAGGTTGACTTCAACAGTAAGAGCATTTCATCAGCCCTCCAGGCATCAGACAGAGACTGAGGCTGGTGTTTATTTTCCAGCTGAAGCTAGGGTCACTTTTCTCCTTCCAGTCGTTCCCTCTTGACTTTGTCTTAACTCCTGACACTGAACACCCTGTGGTTTGGATCTGCTGCAGCTGCAGCAGCAGCAGCAGCTGGATCTGCAGCTGCAGCAGCAGCAGCAGCAGCAGCAGCAGCAGCAGCCGCCGACGGTGTGACACCCAGAATAAACCTGCCGCCGCCGTCTGTTACACACTAGACCTCGGTTCGCTTCTAAAGACCCGAGGCTTTGGAATGATCTTCCATGACACGTCCACTCTCTCCTTCTCCTTCCTGTCTGCCTCCACACGTCTCCACACGTCAGTTAGCAGTAGAAATAAAAAGTAGGAACTGGCACCTTGACGATGGGGTGTCCTCCGGTGGCTGCTTTGATGGAGCCTCGGCTGCCCTCCGTCTCATAATGGGCCCTGTGGTAGGGTTTGGGCTGGACCTCCAGCCTCAGCTCATACTGGCTGTGTTGACTGGGCAGCGGCCAGTCCAGTGGAGGGGGGGACGAGGGCCTGGCAGACATAAAGATCACACACGTGTTGAGAACCAGTTAAAACGTCAACACTATCCTAACAAAAACATCAACACTCCATCTGCCTGAGAACTAAGAAATGAAAGAATGAAGCACCTGAACAGAGGAGGGTTCCCGGGTGTGGGTTTGTTCCAGCTAAAGTGAGATGGAACCTGCAGGAAGAGCTCGGCCAGACCGTCCTGATCTTGTCCCTCACAGGGGTCCTGAGGATGTCCTAGCACCAGATCTCCTTGACCCTGACCAGGGAGATGAACCAGCTGGCTCCCAGATGTCCTCCTGGTCTTGGAGGGGACGTCCAGCTCCTGGTAGCTGTTGGACATCAGAAGGGAACTGAAGATCCCTGCAGGACTTCCTGTTCCTGCCCAGTTGTCCTCAGTCACACTGTCTCTTGGAGAGACGCTGGGTGTGGGACTGGGTGAACGTCTTTTCCCACAGGGGGAGGTCGGTCTGGACGAGGGCCTGTGAAGACAAAACATCACTATGAGTTGAGGATTTCAAACGCCGGTTCTAGTCATCCTCAGACGGACGTCACTGTCTCTTGGACTCAAAACAAAAAGCCAACGGTCCATTGAAATGTTTCAGATATGGAAATTTGCATTTTGATATTTGTTTTTGTTCGTAACATTTGTAACAAAGCTGTTGTCAATAGGACACTGGTCTGATTGAACTGTGAAAATATCAATAAATATAATGTTTAAAAAAAAAGTCCGTCTGGTTTTTATACCTGGACG